CTATGGAGAGTGCTTCTGTACCAAATTTAATGGAGGTTACCTGGAACGTTTCACATACGGAAGGCGGCGAAAAGAGAAGGCACCACAAAATGCAAAACAAACAAAACCAGAATTCTGGGTAGCTGTGAGCATCTGCTCCACTCTCACACGAAGAGTCTGCACATGGGAACTCCTACTAAAAGGAGAACAGAAAGCAGGAAAGGGTATGTTGACAGAAGAGGAAGACTAAGGGGGCAGAAAGACCAGATGGCATCCAAAGAACAGACCTTCCCCTCCCAGAACCAGTAGGTTGCTCAGCCTGAAAGGTGAGGCTTTGCTAGATGTATGAGAGGACCAAGGTGGAGTTGACAGACTCAATGGGCAGCCATTTCAACACACTGCCTAGTTCTGTCACATTCTCTTAGCGTTACCTAGCTTGCCCTCCAGTCGAGGACAGAGCTGGTTTCTCAGAGGTAGCTATTGGTCATTGTCCTATAAGCCCCTCCCCTCAGCTCACTTTGTGAACAAGTTAACCCAATTAGCCCTTCCTGACCTTCTGGACACAGACCCATCACTATGGCCACGATCCTGTGACTAACCCACCCATCCACCTACCATCCATCACCTGGCATCAGTACTTACCTGTGCTTACCTGTCCCCTTCATGATGATGTGAAGGAGACCACCTTAATGACCTGCCCTCACCAAAGGGAAGGTTTAAACGCATTCCACCTCAAGAAGTCATGAGCCATTGCTTTGCTAAGCTCTGGTCTGACCACATGGCTCTTTAGCTATGGCCACCATTCTTATTTTCCTAGCTTTGGTCCCCTCCCCTACCTTGAGGCTGTGACTCTCCTCTCTCTCTTCCCTCGCTCCAATTTACTTTCTAAATAAACTGTGTTTTTCAATCTACCTTCTGTGCATTTGCATTTTATCACATGGCATGGGGAAGCAGCACCCCCCCACACACACTGGTCTGACCTGACATTTTGGAGGCCTCCTGGGATTTTGGCCTAACATATTCAGAAGTCCCATCGAGGCTTTGCTGTGCATTCTCTCTCTCACTCTCCTCTTTTCCAACCCGATTCTCTGTGGAGAGAGATGAGGTGCTTAGCTCTCTGCCTCTGCTACTTACTCTTAGTCTTATCACCTGTGATGAGCTCGGCAAACAGACCTCCCTGTCACCTCAGCCTTGTCTGCATGAAGCTATGTCACCCATGAGTCCATGCACTACCCTATTTCTTGCTAGGAGGTCTTGAACGTGACCCGAGAAGCTTGTTTTCTGTCTCTGCTCGGGATTTGTTTTTCTTTCTTTGCCAGGGCCCAGGGCCCCCTGCGCTCCTTTGGGCTAATTCCACTGATCCTCCACCAGGGACGGTGGCTGAGGACGTGGATGGTGTATGCCTGGGCCCAGGTCCCTCTGTGATCTCTCGCTCCAAGACTCCTGAGTACATGTCTCGCAGCTGCCTTTTGCTAGGGCCTAGGGCCCTCTGCACCATGGAAGCGCTGCCTCTGGTGAGTTGAGGAGTTGAAGGGATGCCCTCCTCACTTATTACTCACATTCTCAGGTTGCCACTGGTCCTCTGCCTGGGACACCGGCTGAGGATGTGGATGGTTTTTACTAGGGCCTGGGGCCCTCTGCATTCTCTCTCTCTCTCTTTCAGTCTCTCAGAGACCATTCAGTCCCTGCTAGGATTCCTCCTCACGGGAAACCCAAGATGCAGGAGCTAAGCACCCCCCCACATTGAAATGCATCCTAGAAGGTCTCAGCACCCTCTCACTAGAGAGGAGCAGCTGCCTTAAGTGTCTTCTCAGTCCCAGCTAGGTGGCCAGCAGATGGGCCCAAGGTGGGTCTCTTGCCTCTGCTACTGTCCTTCTGCTTGACCACTATAGCCACTACAAGGGCAGATGGTCTGAAGGCTTCAAAACGGCACTGCCCGGACCCTGTGTTCTTTCTGTGGCATACTCCTCACTCCTTGACTTATTTGCCCTCCTTCCTGCTCTCCCCATAACAATCCGAATCCAGCCTTCTCTCCCTCCTCCCTCACTGCCTGATAACATGCTGGCATCAGCCCTATGAGTTGCAGTAAAGTCAAACCACGTGGGCCACCTCCTGCCTCCACCCGTCTCCGCCACACATTCTGGGAGACCCTTTCAGGTTTCCACCTTGGCTTAATCAATCTCCCCTCAGGGAGATGGCAGGAAAAAGATATTGAAGTTCATGTTCTTTTTCTGGGATAAATCTCTCTCTCGAATTAGATCTAAGCTGGAACTATCAGTCATCCTCGTGGTCAAGAAAGGCCAGGCTCGGTGGCTCAGCCTGTCATCCTGCGCCTTGGGAGACTGAGGTGAGTGGATTGCCTGAGCCCGCGGGTTCGAGACCCACCTGGGCAGGTGAGACCTCATCTCTACAATAAATCAAAAAAATCAGCCAGGTGTGGTAGCACATGACAGTAATTCTGGCTACTTGGAAGGCTGAGGCAGAAGGATTGCTGGAGCCCAGCAGTCGAGGCTGCGGTGGCCGGGAGCGGCCACTGCGCTCCAGTCTGGGCGACAGAGTGAGACTCCAACTCAAACAAAAAAAATAACAACAACAACAACAAAAAAAACACAAGAAAGGAGCAAAGGGATGAGGTGTTAATTAATCCTGTAAACTTACAGAAGAACAGCCTATTGTCATTTTAATCTACTTTTCCAAACCAAACTAGCAAGTGCACTAGTAAAATCTTAACAACTTTACCATGTGCTAGATAAAGCAGAGACTCTCTGTGTGGCACACTGAGCCATGGGGACGGATCACCCCCACCTAACTGTTCACACCTCACAACTAAGACTATAATTTAGTAATTTATCAAGGGTCTGAACAAACTTGCCTGTTCATAATTGGAAACAAATAGAAACAGATCATTTCACATCCACATGGTCTGTTCACGCTAAAGGGTTTTATATCCAACCATTACAGAGAAAGGACCAAGAGGGAGGTGATATACCCAATGAGCAGCCATTATAACACTGCGTAGTTCGGTCACATTCTCTCGACATTACCTAGCTTGCCCTTCAATCGAGGACAGAACTGGTTCCTCAGAGGTAGCTATTGATTATTGTTTTATAACCCCTTCCCCCCAGCTCATTTTGTAAACAAGTTAACTAATCAGCCCTTCATGACCTTTGTGACTCAGAAGCCATCACCATAGCCACAATCATGTGACTAACCCATCCATCTGCCTACCGTGTGTCACCTGATGTCAGTACCGGTGTTTACCTGTCCCCTTTGTGATGATGTGAAGGAGACCACCATCCAATCACTTTAACAACCTGCTCCCATCAAAGGGAAAGTTTAAAGGCATTCACCCTCAAGCAGCCAGGCAGCTTTGCTAAGTTCTGGTCTAGCCACATGGCTCTTTGAGCTATGGCCAACATTGTTTTTCTAGCTTTGGCCCCTTCTCCCACCTCGGGGAGGAGACTCAACTCTCTCTCTCCAATTTACTTTCAAATAAACTATATTTTCCAATCTAACTTACGTGCAATTATTTGCATCTTTCGTGCGGCACCGGATCACAGACCTCCCTCCCCGCCCCTCAATCTGACCTAACGTCTTGGAGGACCTGTTGGGACTTTATTTCTCCAAGTAACACTGAATATTGCAGCTACCCAGGGGAAAAGGAGAGGAGGGAAGAGGATCGCCAGCCGAAGGCACAAGGGAAGGAAGCACATTCAACCAGATAGGTAGAGCAAATGGGAGACAGGAAACAGGAAAAAAAATGTGACCGTGGGTTGATGTATTGAGAGAGACAGGCAATGCTGGAGGGGACTTGAACTGCAATGCTGGAGGGGAAGTCTTCAGTTTCATCGTTTAAATAAAAAGTCTCCCCTCCCCCAACTGAGCTTCGTTCTCTTTTTCTGTGCTATTTCATTAGTACTTTTCTCTGAAGTTACAGTTTGGTTTTTCCATACACTGGAGCTGAAAGGAGACAGTCCTTTCCCAGAACGATCTCCGCCACCCAAATGACCAGTGTCCCATGTTCAGTCCCCAGAGGCAGGAGGGAGGGAGGGTAGAGCAGCAGATTGGGGGGGCTTCCACCGGAGTGGCTCACAGGCTGGGGAGGGGGTGCGAGGATGGGAGCAGGGCCAGTAGGGTGGTGGTGCCCTCCCGCTCCTGCAAGCCCATGTAGGCTCCACCGTCCACGGACCCCTCACCCTCTCCCGGACTCGCTCTTCTGAGGACCCCTCATTTGTCCCCCCGAAGGACATTGCATGTCCCATTTCCTGAGTAGGAAAACGGAACCCGGGAGGCATGCGCCACTCACAGTCAGAGCAAGGACGGGCAGAACGTGGACTGGATTCGGGGTCCCGGCTCTGTCCTCCCTGCCTGGACTCTGGTCCGCTCACAGCCCCTCTCAGCCTTGCCCCCCATGTCTCCCCTCCGTCCTCCTACACTGAGCGCAGCCTCCGGGTTTGCTCCTCCAGCTGGGCTCTTCATCCCCAGACTCTGAGCTGTGGGCCCTTTACTCCTGCTCTGGGCAGCCGTGTCTCAACCCAGGCCCTGGGCTGCCTGGAGGCAGGACTTGAACCCTGGCCGGGCTGTGCAGCAGAGGGCCAGAGGCTTCTGTCGCTGAGTCTCTCATTCTGCACAGAGAAATGGTGCACGGCGTCCTCCCAGCCCACGTTTGGAGATGATGATCAGGACAAGGCTTGTCCTGGTCTGGCCTCTTTGCTCTCTGAACTTTCAAGTTCACGTTTTTATCTGCCACACCTGGCAGGGTGGTTGTAAACCTTGGGGCTCAGTCTCCCTTGGCCACTCCCACTTGCCCTCTGACCCACCCAGGAGGAGACCCGAGGACCCTGTGCCCTGGCTGCGTCACTCCCAGCTGGCTCCTCGGCAGCAGCTGGCCCGCCTCCAGGGTTGGCCGGCTGCCCAGGCACCAGAGAGCAGCCAGGCTGCTGGGGATTGGCTGCCCAGCCCGGCCCAGCCTCTCACAGCCTTCCCTAGGTCAGGGGTCGGGGCAAAGGTCTCCCAGCAGAAGGGGAGAGAGAGCTGTGCGGGACAAGCTGCTCCTGCAGAAGGTGCCAGGCTGGGGGTGGCAGGGCCAGAGGGTCCTCGCCTGGGATGCAGAGGCACGCTGCCCAAGGCAAAGGCGGCTCCCGGCCCCTGGCCTGAGGGACGGGTGGCTTCCCGGTAACTGAGCCCCTGGCAACCGCCCAGCGATGCAGGCAGGGCCCTCCTGGACTCTCATCAGACTCTCTCCCTTTCCCTCTCTGGTGCTTCGGGGTGGCCGGAGACCAGTTGGCTGCTGGTTTTGGCGGAGCCTTTCTGAACTTGAGCTCTCAGCTCTCGCTCACCCCTTCTCGAGCCCTCTCCTGCCCTGCCCTTGGTGCCTGGCGGGCCCTGCCCCCGGCCACTGTCCCTGGAGCTCCCTGGCCCTTTCCTTGGACGCAGGAACTCACCTTCCATCACGCTGCCCTGCAGGATGCCGCTGCTAGCCCTGTCCTGGCTAGGCCTCACGTCAGTGGCGGCATCCCTGTGGCAGCTCCCGCTGCTGGTCGGGGCTTCCTGGCTTCTGGCCCGCCTCCTGACCTGGGCCTGCACCTTCCGTGGCAACTGCCGCCGCCTTCGGGGCTTCCCGCAGCCGCCAAAGCGGAACTGGCTCTTGGGCCACATGGGCCAGGTGAGTGTGGCAGCAGGACGGGTCTGGGATGGACATCCCGTGGGGCGGGAATGGGGACCGGGCAGCTGGGCTGGGGCAGGCTGGGGCCTGGGACAGCGAGAATCTGGAAGGAGGCCCGCCTGTTCCTCGGCTCCCTCACCCATTCCTCTACTAACTCATTCCTTCATTTCTCTACTGACTCAGCTTCTACTCATTCTACACTCGTTCCTCTACTGACTCACTCAGCCCTCTACTGACGCACTTTACGGATTCACTCGCTCCTCTACTCTCTCACTTATTTCTCGACTCGCAGACCTCTCTTGTTCCATCCCAAGTCACCCTCCCTTTATTGTCCTAAAGGCTAGTCCTCTTTGAATAATTTTCCTCCCGTCTTCTCTACATGAGTGTACCTCTGAGAATCAACTAGAATGAGCTGCACAGAGTGGGGACTTTCTGACCTTTCCACCTTAGCCACTGCTGGATTGGAGACCCTCTCAGCCCACTGTCCAGAGTTTGCTTTTTGCCTGGCCCATTTTCTGATACAGAGCCCCAGCTGGGCCAGAAGATCATTTTGGGCAGCCCCCCACTGGCTCTCTTTTCAGGGGCATCTGTCTTTTCCTCGTTAAATTGTTCCCCCCCAAGATGCCTCAATTCTCTTCCCCGCTAAGATGTCCTTGTTGCCCAACCTAGACGAAAGCTGGTCACTCGCTTCCCCTTTCAAAGCCTTTTTGTCCTCCCTCCCCCAGACCTTGCCTTCAGAGTTGGAACTGCTCTCCTCTTTGGGTGACAGGGCCTTGGTATGCTCATGTGAAAATGGCAGGATTGGCAAGCACGTCCACAGGTGTGGGGGGTGGTTGCACAGAACACACTAGCATAGAGCCTGGCACGTGGAAGGTGCTCACAGGTGGAAGCTGCCATCCTCAGGGACAATTAGAGTCACCTCTGCCCCTGGAGGCCTTTGAGAATAGAAGGTGCCAGTGTGCAGACCCTTGTGCCCGGGAGAAACCGGAGCCTGTGAGGACCAGCCGGGAAAGGAGAGGCTGTGGGAACCAGCATCAGGCACAAGTCCTGGGGAACAGGGCTGCCCACAGCCGCCCTTTGGGGAACTCCCCCTATGGACGTCCCTGGGTCAGAACTGCTCCCAGGACAGTAAAATTCATCCTCTTGAGCCTAAGTGGGCCTGTTTGTGAGTCGACAGTGTGTCTTCTCCCTATGACTTGAAATTTACCCTGTGTCTTGGAGATGAAGAGAGAAGGAGCAGATGGCAGCAGAGATTTACTCCATCCTTGCAGAATCCAGATACACTGTTCACTGCAGAGGTTGCCCCATCTCTGGAGACACAGCCTGGAACTTGATGTGGCTCCTTCTGGGGAGTTTCACTAGCCAGGGTCCTCCTTTGAAACAGAATCAATAGGATAGGATTCATACCTCTTATGCATAGATAGATAGATAGACAGACACACACACACACACACACACACATATCCATACATATATGGAGACAGAGAGTGGGAGAGAGCGAGAGAGAGAGAGGGGAGAGAGAGAGAGAGAGAGAGAGAGGAACTTATGTGATTATGGAGGCTGAGAAATACCACTACATGCCATCCTGCAAGCTAGAGAATCAGGGACACTGGGGATATAAATCAGTCTGAATCCCCAAAGCCCTGAGAACCTGGAGTTCTGATGTCCTAGGACAGGAGAAGACGGATGTCCCAGCTCAGAAGAGCTCACAGATCTGCTCTTTTTCTGCCTTTTGCTGCCTTCTGGGCCATCAATGGATTGGATGATGCTGGACCTCACTGGGGAGGGTGGGTCCTACTTCCTCAGTTTACTGATTCGAACGCGAATCTCTTCTGGAAACCCCATTGCAGACACTCCCAGAGAGAACGTTGGACCAGCAATCTGGGCATCCCTCCGCTCAGCCAAGCTGACACCTAAAACGAACCATCCCAGGAGGTGACGGCCTCTGCTTTGCTTTCAGCTCACACCCAACGAGGAGGGCATGAAGCTCGTGACTCAGATGGTGACCACCTACCCCAAGGGCTTTAAGGTGTGGCTTGGTCCCACCTTCCCCCTCATCATTTTATGCCACCCTGACATTGTCCGGCCTATCACCAGCGCCTCAGGTAGCTATGCGGAATTTGTGGTGGTGGGTGCCATGGTGCACTCAAGGGCTTCTGTCCCCAACCTCTCTAAGCTCTCTGTGCTCCTTGCAACACCTCAGCCCCTTGTGGTCCCTGTGCTTTCAGCCACCTTCCTCTGTGCTTCCTGTGTTCACTAATCCCCATCTTGGCACTTCCTTCTTCACTGCTCCTCTGTCCTGGTGTTCTGAGAACCCCTGGGGCACCAAGAGACCTCAATCCAGGGTCCAATCCTGGAGAAGTGTGAGGAGGTGAATCTGGACAGAGACACGCCCAACTTTGTGGGGTCAGAAATAGGCCAGAAGGAGATGGCTGTGATGGCCCAGAGGAGAGCAAGTCTTGCTGTGGCAGGCTGGAAGACTTCCTCGAGGAAGAATTGCTAGAGCTGGGCCTGGAAAAATGAGCGGGAGCTTGTTAAAGCGGAGGGCAGCGTGATGCAGTGGGTGTCATTAGAGCACTCAAGGCTCCCTGCCAAGCCCAGCATGAGCCTTGGCCATGCCTGGGCCCAGAGCAATGAGAGAGACTTGCTGCCTGTGGAGGACCTGGGCTGTTATGTCAGGGACGTTCACCTCGGATGGGTTGGTTCCTTCTACCCCATCCTGCAGCAGGTCCACCCTACGTTCATTTCCCTCTTGCTCCAGGTCCCAGAATCTCCCCTAGAAGGTCCCACCCCAGGCTGGTACCTTTCCCTTGCCGTCTGCCCTTCCTAATCTTGGACAGGCCAGGCTGAGCAGAGGAAGAGGCAGCGTCCCAGAGAGACCGTGGTTCTGACACCAAAATGCTGAGTGGCTCTGGGCAGGTCCCAGCTCTGCTGTCTCTGACTCTTTCAGTTCTGAGTAGTAGAAATTCAACCCGGCCGGGTTTGGTGGTTCAGCCTGTAATCCCAGCACTTTGGGAGGCCGAGGTGAGAGGATTGCCTGAGCCCATGGGTTCGAGATCCGCCCGGGCAACTTGGTGAGACCTCGTCTGTATAATAAAAAAAAAAAACAACAACAAAAAACTAGCTGGATGTGGTAGTGCATGCCTGGAGTTCCAGCTACTTGGAAGGCTGAGGATTGCCAGAGCCCAGCAGGTTGAGGCTGCAGTGATCGGGAGCATGCCACTATACTCCAGCCTGGGCGACAGAGTGAGACTCCAACTCAAAAAAAAAAAAAAAAAAAGAAAAGAAAAGAAATTCAACCCATTTGCTAAACAAAGAAAGGAAATCCACTGATGGCAAAAGCCAAGAAAAGTGGCCCTTAGGCACAGCTGGATCCAAGTCTCTAACAGAGTCACCGGGAATCTGTCTCCCTCTCTTGGTTTTTCTTTTTGCGGTGTCACTTTTCCTTTTAGGGCAGCTCTTTCCTTATGGGGCCTACGATGACTCCCAGAAGCTCAGCTCCCACCAGAAAGCCTGCCTTTCCCCTAGAGCCCAACAAATGGCCTGAGATTTGGATGCCACACTTGGCTGCATCTATATACTTACACCTGGGAATCATATGGAGATGCTCACGTGTTGGGCTCCTCTGTGGCCAAGGACACTTTGGGCATGTGGGCATGGTTTAGTTCTTGTTGGAAATGCAGTTTGAAATGTCTTTTTTTCCTGCTGGCCACATGTGGGTCATATCTGGGGATTGTCCAAGTTCTGGGACCCAGGGTCCCTTGAACTCTCTGAGACATTATTTGAGTTCTGTCTAAAGTAGGTTTTATTCATGCCTGAGGAATAGTCTTGGTTATGTCTGGGACATTAATGAGATTATATTTAAATCCTGTCTGAGACCCCTCCGGGAGGCCCACTAAGGTCATGTCAGATCATCTCAGGTCCAGGTCAGAGCACATTAGGTCATGCTAGATCGTTTCGCATGTCTTGTGGTCATGTCAGGACATGTTGACACGTGTCAGGACCTTGTCTCATGTCCTAAATCCATGTCCGAAGATGTCATCGGTGCTGGGGAAGACAGAGTGTCTTTTGCCCCATAAAGGCATATTTGCTTGGGCTGTGCGCAGGTGTTGCAGAACACATTGGACAGTGGAGGGGCCATGTCGAGAGGCGCGCAGTGCCACCTTAGGGTGTGTCGTTGCTCTCCTGTGTGGCTGCAGCCTGGTCTGGTCTCCCTTCACCTCCCCGCCTCCCTTCTTGCTCTGCTCTTTGTCCCCCTTCCTGCTTGGCTGGGCTTGTGGGGAAGAAAGTGCTGGGATCCTCCAACCCACACCCAGTGTCCCTCTCCTGCCCCCTCCATGGTCCCTGATGTTGTCATTTGTGTCAGCTGCCATTGCACCCAAGGACGTGGTCTTCTATAGATTCCTGAAGCCCTGGCTGGGTGAGTAACTGCAGGTGAAGGGGGTGAGTAACTGCAGGTGAAGGGGGGTTGGGACAATTTTTTTTTTTTTTGAGTTGGAGTCTCACTCTGTCGCCCAGGCTGGAGGTCAATGGCATGCTCACGGCCACCACAGCCTTGATCTGCTGGGCTCCAGCGATCCTTCTAAGTAGCTGGAACTACTGGCACACACCATGCCTGACTAATTTTTTGATTTATTGTAGAGAGGAGGTCTTGCCAAGTTGCCCAGGCTGGTCTCAAACCTCTGGGCTCAGGAAGTCCTCTCACCCCTACCCCCAAGGGGCTGGGATGTTGGGGGGAGGAGCCTTTGGAGACCAGGGGAAGGTGCTGTCCATGCTCACTGCCCACGGCTGCCCTGCTAGGGGACGGGCTCCTGCTGAGTGCTGGTGACAAGTGGAGCCGCCACCGTCGAATGCTCACGCCTGCCTTCCATTTCAACATCCTGAAGCCCTACGTACAGATCTTCAACAAGAGTGTGAACATCATGCATGTGAGTCTCTTAGAGTCAGGGTCCCAACTGGACGTGGACATGATCATACTTAAGTCCTATCTGGGGTCCCTCTGTTAGGTACACTGAGGTCATGTCAGACCATCTCAGGTCCCTTTTAGAGCATATTATGTCACGAGGGGGGTAGGGCATGTCACATATCCTGTGGCCGTATCAGGACATGCAGGGCTATGTCCCATGTCCCAGATCCATATAGGAGATAGGGGATAGAGGGAGCACAGACATAACTGGTTTGGAATTTTGGCAGTGTGAGTGGTCAGAGCAACTGCACTTCCTCTCTGAGCCTTGGCTTCCTTGTCTGTAAAAATGGTGACAATAATCCCTACTTGTGATAAGAGGATGTGATGGCATCATACCCCTGGCCCATAGTAAGTGCTCAGAAGGTGTCAGTTTCTTTATTTCTCTCACAGAAGCCCTGTAAGCTCTAGAGAGTAAAGATGAGCGCCATATTGCTATTGCTGAGTAACAAGCCACATCAAACCGATCGGTTTAGAGAAATTGTGATTGCTAGGACTGCTAACAAGTCTCTGGGACAGGTGACTAACTCTTCTTGACACGGACTAGATCACTCACAGCAGAGGAGCTGCTGTGGGTCAAGTAGGCAGCTTTGTTGACCTTGGCTCAGTTCTCGCACATATTTGGGGCTTGGTCGGTTTCAGGCTGATCTGGTATGGCCTCAGCCGTGATGTTTGGACTTTCCTCCCTGTGATTTTTCTCCCTCCGGAAGACTTCCCTAAGGCGGTTCACGCGCAGCGACGGGTTCTGAGGAGGCTGTAGTGACTCATGGGGCCTAGCTACATTCAAATTCATTCCCCCTCATTTTCTCCACAAGGTATTGGCCAAGGAAAGTAAAAATTCCAGCAGAGAATCACAGGGGGGCAAAAGAGGCCCCAGGTCTTAATGCAAGTTGCTGAAAAAGTCACAGTGCAAAGAGTGTGGATACAGGAAGAAGTGAGATTGTGGGTAAGGGTTTTGTGAAGTGTTTACTATACTTTTCTTACTTGAAAGTCGATATTGCTTGGGGAGGCTGAGGTGAGTGGATTGCCTGAACCCATGGGTTTAAGACCGCCTGGGTAACTTGGCAAGACTTCATCTGTACAATAAATCAAAAATTAGCTGGGTGTGGTAGCGCGTGCCTGTAGTTCCAGCAACTCGGAAGGCTGAGGCCGAAGGATCGCCGGAGCCCAGCAGGTTGAGGCTATGGTGGCCAGGAGCGGCCACTGCACTCCAGTCTGGGTGACAGAGTGAGACTCCAACTCAAAAAAAAAAGGAAAGCCGATAAGTTAGCTTGCTACTGTTTCACGGATGCTCCCAGAGGACTCAAGACTCCTGGGTCAGAGACAAAGCACAGGTGATCAGTCACAGCATTGGAAACAGCATGTGCTTCTTGTGGGTTTACATCCTTTCTTCAAGCCACCCAAGGCCCTGAGGGTGACTTGGGTGGCGTCTACAGTTGCCTGCTGATGGAGTATGCTGTACTGCAGAGGAGAAGGCTTAGGCTTAGGCAGTCTGCTTTTTTAGCAAGCAGAGGGAAGCCTGATGTGTGTCCAGGGCAGTGATTACCTTGTCTATCAAAGTTGTTCTCTGCAAACACAAGTCTGAGGACTCACCCAAGTTCAGAACATCAGGGTCTTACATTCTTGGCAGGCCCAGAAGGGATTCTCAGGGCCCATGGAGGACTGCATCTCCAACACAGGGATATTTTTTAAATCAGTTTGCAGCCATGAAAATGTGGAAATCTGACATTTCTTGAGCACTCACTATATGCCAGAAACAACGCTGTGTATCAATTCTGTGATATGAATATATATTGTGCACCTTAATTTGAACAGCTGTGTGAGGTAGGGGTTATTCTTTTCCCCATTACAGATGAAACCAAGGGCCAGAGAAACTAGAGAGGTGACTCAAGTTCACCCTGCCAGTACATTAGCTAGAAGTGGTATAGTGGGGGTTCTAACTTGACAATTGGGCACCAAAGCAGGTAAACATAACTATGACTGAGATTTGGCAGGTGGAATCTAGGGGAGGGCAAGGAGTTGACCAAGGGCACACAGAGCCTGGGAGGCAAATCTGGGACTTGAACTCAGGTCTCCTGACTTCCGTCCACAAGGTCTTCATTTCCTAATAGTAACAGCTTCCACTCCCACCCAGCTTGGCCTCCCTGGGGATGAGTGCCTGGGGCAAAAGACCAGAGGGTGACTTTGGGGAGTCCATTCTGGGGTTTGGGGCTGGAAGGGGCTCAAGCAAGCCAGGGCCCATCCCCAGCTCTGTCCCCTTCTCTGGCCAGGCCAAGTGGCAGCGCCTGGCCTCTGAGGGCAGCACCCGTCTGGACATGTTTGAGCACATCAGCCTCATGACCTTGGACAGTCTGCAGAAATGCGTCTTCAGCTTCGACAGCAACTGCCAGGAGTGAGTTCTTGCCTGGGCCTCAGAACTCATGCATGAGCCCAAGGGAGTAGGTAGGGAAAAAAGAGGACTGATCAAGGAAACCAGAAGAGCCTCCCTGGAGGAGCTGTGTCATAGCTGGGCTTTAACGACAGGGAAGGGGAGAGAAAACAAGTGGTCCTTTCAGGCAGGTAAAATTTTTTGATTAAAGGCGGGGAGTCTAGGAAGAACAAAGCACATGCAACATGGTAGAAATGAAGTTGGTGAGGTATGCAGGGATGATATCTTTTTTTTTTTTTTGAGTTGGAGTCTGACTCTGTCGCCCAGACTGGAGTGCAGTGGCCGCTCCCGGCCACCGCAGCCTCGAAATGCTGGGCTCCGGCGATACTTCTGCCTCAGCCTTCCGAGTAGCCGGAATTAAAGGCGCGCACTACCACGCCCGGCTGATGTTTTGACTTATTGTAGAAATGAGGTCTTGCTGCCCAGGCAGGTCTCGAACCCGCGGGCTCAGGCAATCCACTCACCTCAGCCTCCCAAAGGCGTGGGATTACAGGCTGAGCCACCGAGCCCGGCTTGGGGACGATATCTTAATGACACTGAAAAGCAAAACACATTGACATCAACGTCACCATGATCTTTCCAGAGAGCAATGAAAGGTAACTGAGCCGATGACAGACCTGTCAGATAGACACCAGGTAGAACTGACAGTGGACCAAGAAGACAGTGGGGGCTGGGCCTTGGACAAGTCGGAAGAGGATGAGGTCTGAGTTGTGCGGGCGGTTGGGGGCAGGACTGAACCCTGGTGGGAGAGACACAAGATGGGCATGACGTGTCAGTCATGCCGGGGTGCCTGGGGGCATGTCGGCAGCTCACAGGGATGGGATGCGAGGAAAGAAAGAGTCTGGAGAGTCAAGTCTCACGGCCGATCCTCGCCATGTATCTGTTGGGTGGCCTGTTTCTGGATATGCGGGTTCCTGAGGTGAGGCAGGAGGTGCTCCTGTGGGCTGGTGGGAGATGGATGCTCCTTGAGCTTCAGGTGTGTTAAGTCGTCTCCTCCAACCTTCCCTCATCCTGCAGGAAGCCCAGTGACTATATCGCCGCCATCTTGGAGCTCAGCGCCCATGTCGAAAGAAGGAACCAGCAGATCCTCCTGCACATGGACTGCCTGTACTACCTCACCCCTGACCGGTGGCGCTTCCGCAAGGCCTGCCGCCTGGTACACGACTTCACAGATGCCGTCATCCAGGAGCGGCGTCACACCCTCCCTGCTCACGGCATCGATGACTTCCTCAGGGCCAAAGCCAAGTCCAAGACACTGGACTTCATTGATGTGCTCCTGCTGAGCAAGGTGGGCTTCTCTGAGAGCTGAATTCAAGAGGCAGAATGGAGCTGGATTTTAAACATGAGATTGAACAACTGGACTTGATCCTGAGGGTGCTGGGGATTCATGGGAGGTGCTTGAGAAAGGGAGGGACAAATGAAAGATAGGCTTCTGGAATGTAGCCGACAGGGGATGGCTAACTTTGAAACTGAGGAAGCTGAGATAGATTTTACTCCAGTTATGAGTTAGTAAGTTATTCTGCCCCATATTTATGGGTGTGTGTGTGTGTGTGTGTGTGTGTGTGTGTGTGTGTGTGTATACACACATACATCTATGACCTGTGGTCTCTCCAGAAACCCAGACCCACCCTGCCTTCCTTGGTCTCTTGGGGTCACCTTTGCTACAGTCCTGACCCTACGGGTTTCTCTCTGAATTCCTTGCCTCCTGTTTTGTCCCTGGTGGGAAGAATTGCGATCCTTGAATGTGTCTACACAGTTTGCCTAAGACTGTACCTCTGCTCACAGATGCTCCCAAGCCCTGAATCAGAACAGCCTGTTCACAATTCCCAGCAGCGGCAGCAGCCAGCGTAGGGTTGCAATGCAGGACTCCATTCCCATATTCTTCCCAGGGCAACGCAGTGCTTTGATCTGTACGTGCACCAGAATCGGCAGCACAGGGGAGGTGGAGCCCCCACACTGTGGGTCTTGAAACTTATATAAAACGGCTAGAGCATCTTCCTCTTCTTCCGTTGTGTGAAGGGAAGTGTTGAGAGAGAGAGAGAGAGAGAGAGAGAGAGAGAGAGAGAGAGAGAGAGAGAGAGAAAGGGAGAGAATGCACAGGTGTGCATATTTCACTGTGGAGTATAAACTACTCCTCTCCAGCGAGGTGGCAACGTCTGTTGGTTTACAACTCATGTGCCTTCAGGGGTGACAGGTAAGATTCTCTGCATTTACCATCCTGGAGTGCCAGCAGCTATCTTTGGAGCAATGCTTAACTTCTCACCTCCAAGGCAAATGGGCATTCAAACATCCTGTAGCCCAGGTTGCCAGTAATTTTCCTCTGACAGTCCTCATGATGTGGAAACACAAACATATCCAAGGACCGCAGATCCCGCCCACCCGGGACAAAATAAGAGGCAAGGAGTTCAGGGAGAAAGCCCGAGGCTTAGGTCCATAGCCAAGGTGACCCCAAGAGATCTAAGGAGGGCGTGGGGGGGAGTTGGGTTTCTGGAGAGGCCACGGGTCATCCGAGACTGTCTCAGGTTAGACTCGGGTGCCTCAGAACTCGTGTGATCTGAGGGACCAGGCCTTCTCTCCAGGATGAAGATGGGAAAGAGTTGTCAGATGAGGACATAAGAGCGGAAGCTGACACCTTCATGTTTGAGGGTGAGGATCCCGGTGTAAACCGCGGTGTGGGCAGGGCTCTTTTCATCCCAAGGACGCGGTGGGCGGACCCTAGGCCACTCCATGCTGCCCTTCTTCCCCCTCCTCCGTCCTCCGTGGGGCCTCAGTGTGTGGGTGCTGTCCACCCTCCGGCGTGCCGCAGCCCCGAGACTCAGACCTGTCCACTGCTCCTCAGGCCATGACACCACGGCCAGCGGCCTCTCTTGGGTCCTGTACCACCTCGCGAGGCACCCAGAACACCAGGAGCGCTGTCGGCAAGAGGTGCGGAAGCTCATGAGGGACCGGGAGACTACGGAGATTGGATGGTGAGTGCAGGGCCTCAAGGCCTCCTCCTGCACCATCTTACGGCTCTGCTCCCCAGGGGGGGAGAGGGAAGCTGTTTTTGTCAGTTCTGCCCACTATTGCTTGGTGGGAAGAGGAACACAGACCAGAGGCAGGGCCTGGTACTCAGCCTGGCTAACAGGGGAAAGGTTGCAGGCTTTTAGGACTGAAAGATCAGGGCTGCTGTGATAACTGGTGACAAGACTTGATGGCACTTAGCAAGGCTCAGTAAGTAAATGTTCCCTCCACTCCCTTCTTTTATTCCTGAAATATAATGTTTTGACCGTCTTCACTCCCTGGATGTTTGCTCTTCTGCACCCTGATTCCTTTCCTACTGCCCAGTCCAGGGTCTCGTTAAGGACACCGAGGGGTCAGAGTCATCCATCTCTTGTCCAGGACACCTGCGTCATCCCTCCAGGCTCCATTCAGCAAGCACGCCCATGCTGCCTTTTACACAAACTTGTTGTCTTTTTTGCAGTTGACTCTTGGATGTTGAGTTTTTGTTAGAGAAGCTTTTTTAAATACTGGTCTTAATATTGTTTGGTACTTTTTGAATCCTCTGCTTTTCTGAATTTTTTCTGCTTCTCAAATATCTGACCCATCGGGAGTTCATTGTGTGATAGGGAGAAGGGGTCTCACTGGGAATGGAGAGGCTGGTGGATTCTTCTTTCGCTCCTGGGTAACTACTGGGGTCTCCTAGGGAGGACCTGGCCCAGCTGCCCTTCCTGACCATGTGCATCAAGGAGAGCCTGCGGCTGCACCCCCCTGTCCCGGTCGTCTCCCGCTGCTGCACCCAGGACATTGTGCTTCCCGATGGCCGCGTCATCCCTAAAGGTACCCACCCTGTCGGCGGGAGGAGGCTTCTGGGCTGGAAGAGTGGCCCTTTGGGTAGCGGGGCTGGCGCTGAGTGCTCCTTCTCTCTCACAGGCGTTACCTGCCTCATCTCCATTTTTGGGATTCATCACAACCCAGAAGTGTGGCCGGACCCTGAGGTGCGGTCCATCCCCCCAAACTTGCTCATTCCAGGGGTCCCAGAAGAGGGTACCTGGTTTTGGCTGGGGAAAGCTGATGACCTTCCCCTGCCACACGCACTACTCTCTCTCCAAGGCTGACGGGCCTGGAAGACCCCACCCAGCAAGTCTGCCTGTGTCTCACCTCCAGGTCTATGACCCTTTCCGCTTTGACCCGGAAAACATCAAGGAAATGTCGCCTCTGGCTTTTATTCCCTTCTCAGCAGGGCCCAGGTGAGGGCAGCATGTGTCTGAAGTGGTGATGGGGGGGAGAGTGTGGGGTGTCTGGTCACAAAAGTGGGGGGAAAGGCAAGAGAACAGGTAGTCAGAGTTACAGCCAACCCTGCCTCAAGAGGCTATGGGCAAAGGACCACAGAGCAGGGGTGGGCAGGAACTACAGGGTCCATAGTGTGTGCAAAGGTCCCCTCCCAGTTTTCTGCTGCAAGCTGGGGACTAAAGCTTACTCTAGGCTCCTGGGATACGCAAACCCCCTTGGGGGTCCCAGGCCCCCCCACCATCCCACCCTCAAGCTCATCTGGGTGGGCTTAAGCAGACCCTGAGCCAGGTTCCAGGCATGATGGGGCCAGCCTGTGTGTCCTGAGTGCAGTCAGAGTCCCCATGTCCGTCCCCAGGAACTGCATCGGACAGATGTTCGCCATGACTGAGATGAAGGTGGTCCTGGCACTCACGCTGCTGCGCTTCCGCATCCTGCCTGACGCCACGGAGCCCCGCAGGAAGCCAGAGCTGATTCTGCGTGCAGAGGGTGGGCTTTGGTTGCACCTGGAGCCACTGAACTCCGGCCCTCAGTGACTCTTTGACCTCTCCACCTACCTTTGCATATCTACAGGAATAAAATTGTGCTGTAAACTCTGCCTGGACCTCACTGAGAGCATGAGGATTCAGAGAGTGGGCATGGGTGGCTGGAAGTGGGCTAGTGTCTCTGAGTCTCAGATCTTGACTGCCTCTCCGACTGATCGCCAGGCATCTAGGACAAGCATGAGTTCTCTGAGAGTCCCAGTTTGGGCTTTACCCTCTGGACAGTAAAGACCCATGGGAGGTGTTTGAGCAGAGGAGGGACCAGGGCTAAGGATGAATTTAAGAGTGAGATTGAGGCTGTGAGTCATGGAGCAGAACCCAGAAAGGTAGATCCTTTCGTCTGGGCTCAGTGGCCACAGGACAGGGGCCCCAGCCAGGCCAGAACACAGGGGAGGAGAGCCTGTCAAGTGTTTCCACCCTGGCGGTCTCAGAATTCTTAGTTCCCTCCTGCCACCTCTGTGTCTGCCCCTCTCAATCGATCCTCTCTGTGACACCTTTCCCTGCCTCCAAGGAGCCCTCTGTCCTCTTGTCCCCCAGGCAGACAGATGCCAACTGAGCTTCCACTGTGTGACACACACACTCACCAGACTGCGGCAGAAGGGCTCACCCCATGATTTCACCTCCAGGTTCTTTCTTCATTACTATCACAGGCCACCCCGAATCACCTTGAGGGGCAGTGGGTGGGACAGGACCAGCCCATGTGACTTCTGAAATTTAAAGCCAGACCACTGGAAGCAAACACTGCTGCCAGAAGCATGGGCTCTGGAGCCAAAGTCTATAATGGACAACTGTAAGCCAAAAAATGAGAAAGCCTAATAAAAATGAATACATTCCTGGGCACATACAACCTAACGAGAATGAGCCAAGAAATGGAAAATCTGAACAGACCAATTACAAGTAATGAAATAGAATCAGCACTTGAATGCCTCTCGTTGAAGAAAGACCTGGGACCTGATGGATTCACAGTAGAATTCTACTGAACATTTCAAGGAGAATTAATTCCAGTTCTTCTCAAACTATTCCAAAGTATCAAAGAGAAGGACATTCTTCTGAACTTTTTCTATGAGGATAGCTAGCATTACCTTAATACCCAACCAGACAGAGTACAAAAAAGAAAAGAGAAAAAAAAAGATGAAATGACAGGCCAGTATCTCTGATGA